GTTCTTCAGGCGTCAAAATGTTATGACATTTGTCACCCCAGGCCTGTCGGCCTAGCTGTTGCAAGCAGCTCAGGTGCGAGATTTTCAGTCCCATATAGATCTATACACAAATTAACACTCTCCCTCCAGGAGACTCTGATTATAATTTATAGGACTTGAACCGGTACCCTAATGGGTACCCCGAAGTAGTGCCTCACAACCCTGTATTAACTAGTTTACGTGTAGTGTAGTAGTGTTCTCTTGTACTTGAAAATGTATGTGTAACCTTGTAGTAGTTACTTTGTAGTGTAAAATAATTATACTTAAATAATTATTTAGTAGTGTATCCTTGAATTAGTGAAATAGAGTAATGTTCCATAAACTATACCTATTATAGTTTAAATGTATGTTCTTGTTCCTGTATAGTGTTCTTTGAGCATGTAAAATAGTGTAGTGACTCCAAAACTATACCTATTATAGTTTGAATGTATGTTCTTGTAATGTTTATTGATCTTAGCAAAATAGTGTAGTGGTTCATAAACTATACCAACTATAATTTAAATGTATACCCTGTAATGAGCTGAAACATTTGCAATCTAATAGTGTGTATAAAGTTGTAGTAAGAGATTTGTGAAAATATTCTTTTTCTCGACATGCTACAAAATGGTTAAAAATATATAAAAATATATTTTGGTAAATGCAATGATAAATCGGATTGGTACCATTACAAATGGTTTGAAATTGTTCGAATTCGCTTGAATGTTAACACAAGAGTCCTTGTGTTTAACTTGTATTCCCCTCCCCCCTAAAAACATTGAAAATAGTGAAAACGTAGGGGTATGAACTCACCTATAGTGTGTTCGCGTCTGGATAGTGGAACTGTAGAGATGATCATCGGGCTAGCGTATGTGGAAATAATGGTATCCTAATAATATTTAAACACATAATCGTATTTAAATTAGCGAAATAATTAATTAAAGTGTTAGACAACACTTATTTCATGTAAGGAATAATTACCGAGAATTATTTGGAGTGTTGGTAAGGGTTTTCGGTCTAGCCTTCACCGAAATCCTTGATTTCGGTCTTAAAAACGTCAACCGAGAACCAGGTTCTCGGTCTTATGGTGTTTTCAATCGGGAACGTGTTCTCGGTCTAAGGTGTTTTCGGTCAGCTTGAAGATTTGATGATTGTTCTTGGTGAAAATTATGAAGATTTGAAGGATTTTTCTTGAAGATTTGAAGGTTCTTGTATGATACTTGAGAGCAAAACGGGAGTGTTTTCGATTGAAAAAGTGAGAAAATGACTTATTTTTCGAGGAAAAATATATATATAGCGGCTGCGTTTTCGGCCGGATAGACTTTTTCAGTCCGAAGGGTTCGCGGTCCGAAGGTTCTCGGCCGAAAAGGGGTTTTTGGTCTGAGGGTTCTCGGTTCCAAAGGGAAAAATGTTGATCTTTAAGTGTATTTTATTCCAAATACTTATATAAAAACATCATTTATATAATTTAATCATATTCAACCCTTATGTTCCCAACCAAATCAACAAAATTCGAGTTTTTATTTAAAGGGTTTGACTTTTATTGACTTGAAAAATAACGGGTTGTTACACCTACGTTCAACACTTCACTTGACCTAAAATACTCATAAACAGATGGACCAATAAGGGCCCAAACACTCAAGTCCAAAAAGGTGGCCCAAAACGTTGAAGCCCAACTCGAAAGCCCAACAAGCTGAGTATGTGGGGCGTACTCAGCTGTACGCTCAGTGTACACTACATTGACCGGAAACGCGCCCTTGACCGCCTACGCCCAGCGTACGCGGTGGCCATGCAAAATGTGATTAAGGATTATTCCATCCAGTCCAACATCCAAATTTCATATCTAGGTCCAAATAGGTGTTCCAAACCATAAAGTTTCCAACTTTATGGTCATACATGTCTTAATAAGGCCCAACATCAAGATTCTAGCTTGTCTTAAACACTAAAGACCTCATGCATGCACCAAAAGGACCAAATATAACATTTTTATGACTTATTGCACCTCGTTTCTTCAGAAAGGATGAATCATTTGGTCTTAGAGTAGCATATACTCATTAACACCAAGAAAAGGGACCAAAACACATAGATTTCCCCCATGGCAAGATCTAAAAGAAAACAAGGAAAGATTGAAGCTTTATACCTTTTGGAGCTTCTTAAGAAGGTAGAAATCCTAGATCTGCAAGTTTCTCCTTCACCAAAGCTTCCCCAAGGATCTTCTTCTTCCTCTAGCACACCAAGAACACACCAAAAAGAACACACTAGAGCTCAAAAAGGCACACTCAAAGATTAGGGTTTGCAAAACGTTCCAACGGAGTGGAGGTGAAAGGTGGAAAGGAAATTAGCCAACATGATGCCTAAATACCCTTCAAACACTAAAATTTAGGGTTTCCTTCTGACGTGAGTACGCGCATCGTACACACATGTACGCTTAGCCTACTTATCCATCTCAAAATTACCAAAATGCCACTAGCGCTTCAATGTATAATTCTTGGACTTAGGGATCAAATTGACTTATAATTTAAACCAAGGGATGAATTTGAAAATACCTGAAAACCGGGGTGTTACAACATGGGATGAGGTGAGAAGAGGTGTATATAGAATAAGAGAAGGTTAGGAGATGAGATGAAGACTCAGTAAGAGCCCGAGAAGAGGTAAAGATAGATTGGAGAGAAAACATGAGGTGAGACGAGCATGTGAAGTAATGAAGAGATGATAAGGCATAAGGTGAAATATAGTAAGAGTATGAGAAGAAGATGACAGAATGGTAGAGTATGAAAGTAAAGAAAGATAGAAGTAGAGTATGATTGCATGAAAACAGAGCACCATATAACTCACCAAACTTGTGATATGATATTGTAGATTTTTCATGTATTGCAGGTTCAGGTAGTAGCCGTTGTACGAGAGGAGATAGGAGCACGAGGACTTGGACTGGAAGTAGTTTTTATTCTTAGTTTTTTCTTGTTGCTTTAAATGATGAGTATGATTTTATTGTAAACTCGATATTAACTTGGGATGTAAATTGTTTTTGAGTGATAGAATTTCGCAATTTTTATAGAAAACTCTGATAATCCCTAGAATATTATATGAGAAAATCCAGGTACTTATAGTTGACATACTATGAATTTTGAGTTCAATGTTCATGTCAAGTGGTAATAAAGGATTTGAAGTTTAAATACACATTGAACTATTGAATAAGGAAATGAGTAACAAAAAAAGATTCATACTTTAAAATAAATGGGAAATTGACACTGTAGCACAACAGACTTTAGGCTTTGTCCCTTATTTTTTTGCACAATTAATCCTTTAACTTTCAAATTACTTGTTAATTACACCTTTATCCTCAATTTTAAAGGTTCGGCTGGTTCCGATGCTTTGTTGACAAGGCTGACATGGAAGCTTCATCCCTCGTGTAAGACACGACATCATGGGTTATTAATTGAAACCCTTAATCGACACAATCCTTCACATTTATTCACGTATTCGAAACCGTAAAAACCCTAACAACTATCAAAACCATTCTTGCACAATGTTGTCGTATTCTTTCTACAACTCAACCGTTCCTCACTTTGGTAGCGAGGACGAAGTGCAGAAATGTCACTGTGACTTGGAAGCGCTACAAAGGACATTGTGGACAACAAAAAACCCTACACGCCGCTTTTTGAATTGTCCCAACTCACTAGTAATCTCTGATCTGAGCAATATTGTTTATTTCTTTAGAATATGATAAAAGCTAACTTCGATTTTGGTACATGTCATGTATGATTCTAATTTATGATGTTTAGGTTTGTTGAAATCTTGATCAATGATATTTGGTGACTTGCGATGTTTGATCTGTGATTTTTTGAGCTAACATTTGTTAAATTTCTTTGATGTTTGAATTTTCAATGATGTTTTGTGACTTGCGATGTTTGATCTGTGATTTTTTGAGCTAACATTTGTTAATTTCTTTGATGTTTGAACTTTCATGATCGATTTTAGATGTTTGATTATTATTTTGCTTTTTGACTTCGATAGATGACCGAAAGGATGAGTTATAGGTTCTTCCATTGGATATATGATTGGCTACAACCAGGATACTACAAGGAGAAGTTGTATGGCATAATGTAGGAATTGGAGTCGTTGCAGGGTTTGATTGTCAAGGCCAAGAACGACAAAAGAGTTGCTAAGTTGGAAAGGTTGGTGGTTAAGCATGAAGCTAGCATTGCAAGGTTGAAGATGTGCTTGATGTGGATTGTGTTTCTTTGTATCTGCTTGTTTGTAAGGTTGGTTTGGTGTTTTATAAAGTTATGGAAGTGATGACATAACTTTTAAGTCTTTTGTTTGGTTGATGTAAAAATTCCAACCAATATGCATGTCTTTTGTACGGTTGATGTATAATTCCAACCAATATGCATGCCTTTTGTTAGATTATGGTGGTGGGTTTAATGTAAGCTTCTGGATAATTGGGTAGTGTTTTGGTCCTAGAAATATGTTTGTAAGATACTCCTCTATGTAAGTTAATGGAAATTGTACTTGAAAAGTGTACTTGGAAAGTTGTCTTGACCTTATTATAATGACTAATGTTGTATTATTTAAACTTATTTTGTTTGTGAAAGTGTGTATCAGTACATGGAATATGTAGGAGTGGACCACTATGCTCCCTTTAAATGTGCAGAAAGCGAGTAATTATTAAACAATTGGGACCACATAGTTTTGGTGCATCTATATCATGCACAAATATTGTTAATGTACCAAATTGCCCATTCGTATGCATGCCTGCAATAAATTAGGCAACCAAGTTTCTAACATGATAAATTCATTGGAAGTAAATTAAAACAACTTTCATAGAAAGAAACTAAAACATTCCAATTTAGGCAACATACTTTGTTACATGATAAAGACCATTGTCCTACAATAAAACATCTTTCATACAAACATTCCAATTTAGACAACCAACTTTCTTAAATGACAAACAACCAATTATGACCACATTACCAAAAACTATGTTACTCTATATTTAGAGATTTTTCCTTTGAATTCCCTGGATCACCATCATTACCAACTCTTTTACCCAACTTCAACTTCAAGATTCTATTCGACTTTCTTTTTCTCATACTCTTCAACAAGTCAGAAATGTGTGGTACTACTGGGACCTCTGGAACTTGCACCTCCTCTGCTGTGTCTTGAACGCCCACCTCCACTACTGCCTCTTGAACATCCACCTCATTTAATGCCTCTTCAAGTAGCACCTCATCAGACAATTCATGTAAATCCACCTTAGCTTGAACTTGTCTTGCCTGTGTTTGAGTTTCTACCACCTCAAATGGGGTGAATTGTATATCTTCCTGGAGTTCTCCTTCAACCTGTATAGAATGGAAAAATATGGGTATGTAATAAATGAGAAACAACTAACAATTGAAGTGGTTTTAGTGTATTACATCCTCTTTCTGGTTAACATTAACATTTTGTTTCCATTTCTTCTTAACAATTAGCTTATGGGGTCTTCCAACTGAACAAGTTGCTTTATTGTGACCCGGTTGCTTGAAAATATTGCACTTGATACCCCCTTTCCACTTTTGGAAACCTTCTTGGTGCCATTATTGGCAGTTGACTTCTTACTCTTCTTTGTCTGTGTTCTGCCATTATTTTTTGTGCCATCCATCTTCCTTTTAATAGTTGGTCTTCCAGGCATCCTTCTACTCACATGGGGTAAAGGTGGTGTGTATTCAATTTCTATTCCTATATGATTTCATGTAGGTATTGCTATTGAAAATTTGTCCACATAATCCTCCACATGCCTATTAAGATATACTACATTAGCAACAGAATGGACACAACCATATCAATTGAGTTGCCATAACCTACATGAGCAAGTTCTCTTCTCCAAATCAACCTCATATGCATCTCCAATTCCTCCCACCTCATACTAATTCAAGTCACTTGGTAGTACATTGTAATTTCTCTAATAGGTGCCTTTTAGTGGTTTATTTTTTTTTTCTAACTCAACATCTTGTTTTTTTATCTGCAAAAATAAATTCCAACAACATTTTAATATATTACCATAAAAATAAAATAAAAATTTTAATAAAACATTTTAAATTTGGTTTTACCTTTATCGGACGCAATTCTGAAAGTTTTTGTAAATGGAATACAATTTCTTCGTCTATAAAACCCACTTTTTTTAACAGCATCCAAGCAAATTCGTCTTCAGACTAATACACGTTATTTAACAATATCATAAACTAAAAAATAAATAATGATTTTTTATTCCAGGTTTATTCCAGAACATCATTTTGGAATTAATCTTCATATTCCGAACTATGTTCTTGGTATTCTGGAGTGATACTACCATTCCGAAATCCCTTGTAAGTTGTAATGTCTAATGTAGACTTATTTACTGACTAAAAATGGTGTTAAACAGATTTTAAGTTATTTATATGCGTATTATATGTCTAAAACAAAAAATACATAAAATATATATTTCGGACTTGTTCTTCGTATTTCGGACATGATCTACGCAGTCCGGAATACATATAATTGTTTGTAAACTATAATGCAAGTAGCTTAAAGAGTAGAACTCAGTTAATTTGATGAATCCATAGTAAAAACTCTGTCCGAAACGCGGGTAACACGAGCTTCAGAATTTCAAAATTCAAAATGTTTATTCCAGATTTTTTGGTGTGGAGCACATATATATATAACATTGGGCTACAGTAATGGGCGTGGCCTATTTTGGTCTGGTCCAAAATGGTCATTCCAAACACAATGGTTACTTTTCAAAAAGAAGATAAAATAATAAGCTGGTTATTTTTGTTAAATATAAACTATTTTTTAAACTATACTCAATAGACTAATAAACAATATTTTGGATTCCCGTAACATTATTGGAGTAGATTTCAACCAGATAAATTGGTGTCGAATCCTACATTGTGTGCACTATAACATCCAATTTGACATAATTTGTTCACTTATGTCTAAATGACATCCAGAATGACAAAATTACCCGATTCAAATCCAATTAAATCATGTGTTATACTCATCTTTTATTAAATCCACTTAGACCATGTGTTATACTTATTTTTCATCATCCACTTTTTTTGCTCTACATCACTCCCCTACCATCTACATACCATGTTATACTTATCTTTCATCTTTTAAAAGCAATATACAAATCCTAATTCACAGGCAAGAGAAAAAAGGAAGGACAATAGGGAGAGGGGCCGCCCAAGGCGACATGGTGTTCCCGATGACAACCTCAACACCTCGCACCCTTTCGGGGGAGGTATAACACTATGCCTAATTACCTAAAAAATGTATTATTAAATACAACTAGAAGATAAGTGCCCCAACAAACAAATTAAATATTATTGGTTGTTATTTTTTAATATTAATCTATACGAGGAACGTTAATTTTAGACAAAACTTCAAAAATGGTCTCTGTGGTTTTCAAAAATATCAAGTTTAGTCCCTAAGTTCAAAAAACCTCACAGATGGTCCCTGTGGTTTCAAAACTTTTAACAAATAGTCCTTTTTCGTTAACTCCATTAGCTTTTGGTCGTTAAGTGAAGGGTATTTCTGTCATTTCACTGCCACAGGGACCATTTATGAAGATTTGTCTTATTTAAAAAAAACTAATTATTTAATATTAAAGGGTCCCACCCTCTCTCTCTCTCTCTCTCCTCTCTCTCTCTCTCTCTCTCTCTCTCTCAAAAACATCGAACCACCTTCTCCATTAGAATCGAAGTTGTTATCTGCTCCTTCTACCATCATCACCACCAGGTGACACCGACCAAGGTAAGTGATTTCATGCCTCTACTCCGATCAAAACACACAGATCCACCGTCATCCCTTCCCTTCAGCAACCCTTTTATTTCGATTGTTCAACAGTAAAATAAGTATCTCCTACCTCCATTTTCGTTCCCTTCACCTTACTTCTACCCTGTCACCACCATCAATCATAGTCCATGGTTTCTTTCAAAGAAGAGAGCAAACTAGCGTAAGATGGTGGAGTAGGATCAGATATCGTTTCTGTATTTCATGTCTAGATCACGAGATAACCTTCGAGTTCTTGGAGGAACCATCGCAACCATTTTTGGGTTGCTGGACTGTGGAGTTCTACCGGCGTTGTTGTCAATCTCTGCTAACGATTTCCTTCTATAACGCAAAGGATCAGTCTCCCCTCTGTCGATTTGCTCTTGGCTTGGGTTGTCGGTGAAAACCTGAAGGTGTGTCCTCGTCGGAGATACATTTTGCTTAACGTGAATCCTCTTCACTGTACTGGTATTTGGTTGTTAGGCACCACCATTGTTGCTCTTGTTAGTTACCGGAACTGAAACCATCTTCGCCGGCCTATTGGTACTGCCGACGTCGGTCGCCCCGATGTTTAGACTACGAAAAGGTAACTCAGACCTCCTACTAGGGGATATACTTATTATTCTTTCTTTACTGCAAGACCTGTGGCGTCGCATTCTAGAAGGAGACGAAACCCTAACCTCCTCCCTGTGCCGGTGGTGGTGGTTGTGCAGTGCCTCATCGTTTTCAGTCTTATCATCATCACCATCGTCATTCTTCAAACTGGTGTCCAAATCGGAATCGAAGCTCCTCTTGGAACGAGAGTATCTTCTTCCGCGATTAGGGTTTTGAGATCCGGAGGAATTACTCCGGCTCCTCCTGAACTCTGAGATTGAGCGTCGCCAGCGGTAGAACTAGGGTTTAACGCATTGGGGTCGTCTTCATCGTCGTGTCTTTTGAGTTCATGGTTGATTTGGTGTTTGATGACGAAAATTTCCTTCTTCAAAACCTGTTGATCATTCTTCGTGTTCTGTTGGTTGTTGAGGGTCGATTTGAGGTCGGATTGGGGGGAAGCAGGCTTAAGAG